CGCACGCGCGTGAAAAGAACAACATTGACAAATCTCTCATGTTCCTTCGTAACATCGCACCAAGCGCCACCGAGATAGATTGGAGTTGAAGGACTTTGATCTACAACAACATTTCATTGGAGACAACACTGATATCATCGTGACACTAGAAGTTACTACACAACAAATTAGAAATGAGAATCACTTCCCTCTGTCTCACGGTGTTGAAGTGACGACAACGCGAATGCGAAGGCGGATCTAAAATGAGCTAGATGCAATCATGTTGTGGGGAGTTAAGTGGAAACGCTCGCCACCAGAGTTTTTAAAATAATGCATGCTTTACATTACATCAATAGAACATAGTATATACCCATATATTAACGTAATTGGTCACTCCGGCCCTTGAAGAACAATGGGGACAAAGATGTCATGTTCCTTGGTAATATCGCACCAAAGCGCCACTAAGATGGATTGGAGTTGTAGGCATTTGATATACACTAGTGTTTATTAGAGATAACACCAACGTAATCATGGAAGCGATATCACTACAACACCAACGACTAGTACACAAGGAACAAGAATAGAATCCCCTCTGCTCTGTCTCTTGGCATTGAAGCGTTGACCGGAGGTAGAGGGGGGTATTGGTTTGATGCAGATTAGGATTTTTATCGGGAGTAAAAACAAAATTGTAAGTTGATTGCCAATGATCTTAAAATAGTCTCTTGTGTTGGTTGTCCACCACCGAAGTTGAGGAAGAAGATGGAACGTTGGCGGCAATATCAGTGGTGGAGGTTTGCAAAGCATGAAACCTCGTATTTAACGGATACTAGCTGCAAAGTAGGAGGGGTATCACACACATAGCATTCTAGTGGACCGACCCATGTTACCGCCATGTAGCGTAGCGAGCCTTTGTTTATTACCTCTTTTGTTTTTCTCGATCTTATTATTTTACACTTAATTTTTTTGGTTTTCAGTTAGTTTTTCATTAATTTTCAGGGAAAACAAAAAAAATATTTTTAAAGGTGATTTTTAAGGAAAAAAACCTCAGAACATTTAAAATATTTTTCTAAAAAATAGAAACTTTTCGAAAATTCCAAATACTTTATAAAAAGGAATACTTTTGACAATTTTAAATATGTTGAAAATACACGTATTTTTTATTCTAATTTTTCTAACTTTTTAAATTCCAGACTTAAAGAAAAAAACAAAACGGCAAGAAACTGGGCTGAAACCTTCTAGAACTCCTAGAAGGTTGGTTAAATGGGCCGACCCAGATCTACCACCAGTTGGCTTGCCTTGTGCGAGCGTGAAATAGGAAACATCGTGGCGGGGGCCAACTCCTATTTCGCCAACCAGCGCAAACTCACCTTCGCAATGAGCCAACCTATTTACCTTTTTTCTTTTCCTCTCTTTTCTATTAACCTTAAAAAAGGTGCGTGCGATGTATTCAAACCACAGACCTCTTCGTTCAGTTCAAATCACAGTAACCAACTAGAACACCTTAAATGCTGTGACTACTTAATTCCTTTTTCTTAATTCTTCTTTCTTCTGTTCACGATGGTTCTTATTCGTTTTTTCTTTTTGTTTTTTCTTCTTCCTTTTTATTTTGTTTTTTAAAAACTGAATTCTTTGAAAACTCGTGAATTTTTCTAAAATTTATGTTTTTTTTCAATTTCGCAAAATCAATGAACTTTTTAAAAATTCTTGAATGTTTTTTAAAATTTATGAACTTCTTTCCAATTTTACGAAATCCATGAACATTTTTCAAACTCGTGAAATTTTCTCAAATTTGTGAACATTTATTTTTAAAATTTATGAACTCTTTTTCAATTTTTATGAAACCCATGAACTTTTTAAAATCCATGACCTTTTTTCAAACTCATTAAGTTTTCTCAAATTCATGTATTTTCCAAATTTTTGAAAAAAAATCAATTTCATGAAATCCATGAACCTTTTTCAACCTCGTGAACCTTTAAAAAAATTACAAACATTTTGCAAACCGTATAATTTTTTTCAAACTCATGAACTTTTACAACATGAATTGTTTTCACATTCGTAATTTCTTTTGATCCATGTTTTTTTCCAAGTCAACAGTCAACCGGTTAAATGGTTGAGCGTGAGCTGAACGACTGAACCTGGTTTTTTTAGGAAAACATGCTTGCGTCGAACGAAGGGACGAACAAACGAACTTGCTTATGTCAAACAAAGGGAAGGAACGAGCAACCAAGTCGCTAGCTGGGTCGGCCCCGTGAGCCGGCTGCTAGCGCTAGCTTGGCGAACTGGCGCCTAAGGCGCCGAAGAGGAGGTCTCATGTCGGGATTTGCAACAAATAATTGGGCGTGCTGAATGGGCTAAGGTTGAGGAAATTGTTGTTTGACTGACTACATAGTGAGGATTGCTCCTGGGTTGGGTGAGTCATGGCATGTTTTTGCCCTAAGGTAGCTCTGCCACTAGATCATCAAAAAGGTTGTACTAGGTCAAACTTGTTCGTTGTGTATGAGCAATCTAACTAATCGCTACTTAGATCGAATCGGGAGAAAGAGAAAAGGCCCTAAGCCGCCACCGACTAGGTTCATAACTTTCGATGGTTGCCCTCACATTCGGAGGTATGGATCAATGCTCAAAGTGTAGTTTTTTTTCCATATATGTTTGATTTTTGTGTCTTCGGTGGCAAAGTCTCATAGTGGAGGTGATATCGTACAGAGTAAAAGTCCCATGACTCTATCCTCGTCTTGGTGTGGCTGTCATGGACGATGCGACCTACATTGAGGAACATGTGGTGTTTTGGTCATGCGGATCGATGGCTCCCATTCTCATAGATTGTGAGTACACTTCGTCCTATGCTGACGGCGGTGGCGGCGATAGTATTGTTAAGCACACTTTTTGTCACTGGGTATGTTGATTCGTTTGCTCCTAGTCTTCCCCAACAGTACAACAATGAAGCAACAGTGTTCAACAATCTGTCTTGCAACCCCGTCCATACCGCCTTCAATGATCCTAAGTTCTCACCTGTTGTGGTGGGCGGCTCATCGAAGATTTTGAGGTTATTTCAGCTTATGTAGGTTTGGTCTTCTGCATTTTCTTCATTACATGTATGGAGAAAAGCAGAAATGCAATTGATGGATCTACAGTAACTATGGAGAACTTTGATGCGACTTTATGTTTAATCTTGACCTTCTATTGTTTCGTTTTCGTTCAATTTGATGTACCTTGTCTAATGGCAGCTGCTACAAATCAGTCGGATGATTATCTAGAAAAATCATCCGCCTAAATAGCCGTACGATGTGCTGATGGCCGTTCAATCTCAACAAGGCAGCTTGGTTCTTCCCTCCTCTATTCTCGTTCAGTTTAACACCCACGCGTCTCCTCTCAAGACAACGATGTCTCCGCTGCGGCAAGGAGGCCCTGCTACTGCATGTACGCTGGCCGAGACGCGAGCCAGAGCAACCCCTTGAACTCCGGCGAACGCCGCCGACGTGCTGCGTTGCAACACCATCAGTGCTGCGGGTGGACAGATCCGCCGGCGACTGCTGCATCGCAGCACCGGGAGCCACCGGGGGCTGCTCCATGGCAACACCGAGTGCAACACCTCCGGCGAAGCTTCATTGCAGCTCCGACGGAACTTTCAATGCAGCTCTGACAAAGCTTCACTTCAGCCCGGCGGAGTCCGTTCCATCCCCATCGCAACTTCAACGACCCGGCGGCGCTCCAATGCAGCCCGAGCGAAGCTGCATAGCAACACCGACAACCCCGACGACGCCGCATCGCAGCCCCGGCGGCCCCGTCGACGCTACATAGAAACACCGGCTACCCCGGCGATGCGCCATAGCAACACCTGTGAGGCGGCGACCCCCGCGATGCTGCACCGCAGCACCGGCGGCCACGACGACTCAACACCGACGAGCCCCTCGCCGCAGCACCCGCAGCCCGCTTGAATCACATGCAGCGCAGATCGGCGGCACGCAGCTTTTCCCCGCCGACGGCAGCATCGCCCGTCATGCTTTGCCTTGCAGGAGCGGTTGGTGCTTGCGGCAAGATGTGCACGCCATGGTTGGAAGCAACGATGGTGAGCCATTGTATTGTATCGAGTCCCACTCATCCCTGTCACAGCCCGTGAAAAAATGAGAGAGAGAGGGGGGATGGGGGACGAACGAAGAAGACGAGAAAGGGAGAGGATAAGGCTGGGATGGAAAGCGGTGAGCCGGGCCCGCATGCTACGCGTGTAGTGGATAGGCGACGCACACGCGTGAGATGAGCGCCGCACGATCGGCTTTGATCGCACGGCTAGCGACACGGTTTACGCGAGGCAAACATCAGTCGGTTTCAAACAAACGATTTCCTTGTCTAATTTATCAGTAAAGTCGGATTGTTTACCCAGAAACCCAAAAAAGGTTATACTAAAAAAATTAAGTTTTTTTACTGGGTAGCAATAATAACACTTCGCGTCCGCGACAATACACTTCCGAGATCGATCCAACATACAATGAAACTTCCCCTTCCCTGCCCTAAAAAAAACATGCAATGAAACTTCTTTCCAGCGTCAAAGATAGGCACCGCCACCTTTTATTCTCAGTTTCAGATTTGGACGGGAAGGAAGGCCTGCACGCAGGGCGCACGCCGAAATCATCAGACATGGCTGCTATTCTACTCCTGGGAGAGCTCGTCTTTTTGTTGCGTTCCTCCGCTCCCCGCCACCGACTAGCTCGGTAGCCAAAGCAAAAGCACCGCAACCTGCCAACGCCGGAGCGGGAGCGCCGGCCGGATTCACGCGCACCAACTCCACCCGCGCGCTCTCCTCAACACTACTGCCACTAAATACTCAATGCCTAGCTAGCTCGGCCGCGGAAGCACGCGCTATAAGAGGCCACGCCGGTGCGTGGCAACCGGCAGCTCCTTCGATCTTGTCAGCCAGTTCGAACTTGAGTGTCACTGTCACTAGTAGTGTAGTGCGTCGATGGCTCTGGGAAGAGGCAGTGCGAGGAACGGTGCCGCCGGCCTGCTGCTGCTCGGCCTGCTCGTGATGAGCGCCGAGGCGGCCAAGTACACGGTGGGCGACTACGGGGGCTGGAAGTTCAACGTCGCCGGGTGGGCCAAGGGGAGGACCTTCCGCGCCGGCGACGTGCTCGGTGAGCTGATCTCCGCTACTGCTCGCTAGCTTCTGTATGCGTTTGTTCGTGACACGACGCGCTTGTGTGTGTGTGTGTGTGTGTGTGTGTGTGTGTGTGTGCAGAGTTCAAGTACAACGGGGCGGTGCACGACGTGGCGGCCGTGGACGCGGCGGCGTACCAGAGCTGCGTGGTGCCCAAGGGCAAGAGGGCGATGCGCAGCGGGCACGACAAGGTGAGGCTGGTCAAGGGGATGCACTACTTCGTCTGCACCGTGCGCGGGCACTGCAAGGCCAACATGAAGATCGCCGTCAGGGTCATCTAGAGTGTTTATAGCTACCTGTTTTGTCAACTGCATTCAGATCAGGTCGATCCAAAGCTTCCGACTACAGCTTTTTAGTTTGCTTAATGCTTGAACCAACTGCTAGTTTGCTTCCCAGTTTTTATCCGTGCACTCTTGTTCTAGGTGCGGCAATCGCGAGTTGTAATTCCTGTTAATTTGAATATGGGTCTGAAGGCTTACTAAAAAACTGGATGGACTAGCGCTTCTCCATCCTTTGTTGACACAGGAAAAACCTAACCAGCAAATCGGGCACTCACGGGAGACACAAGAGGTTCCATTTATTATGAAACTTGTACTGGTGCCATGATATATCGATCGGATGTTTGCATACCCTCTCTCCTACTTAAAAAATACGTACTAAGGTTTCATCATAAAGATCCACAAACCTTGCCATGGTAAATTTCACAGCTAGTAGTACCCACTATGCACCGTCGTACTTCTAAGCACTTGAAGATCACATTGCTGTCATGTCAGAACAAACTTCTTTTGGCCCAGGGGCGCGATAATCACTCGTCCTTGTCGTCTTTCTTCGGCTTACGGTATGTTTCCTCAATGTGCTTTGCCAGGAAAACATACGTGTTGAACAGCTTCTTGACATTTGGAACGTTGTAGTTCTGAGCTACATAGACACCACATCCCACTCCCACCAAAAACTTGAGGCCACCACCAAAAAGCCCCATTGCGAGAAAACCTGGAGATGATGATATAAGGTTATGAACATGCATTTCGACAGAGGATGTAAAAAAACACGGGGAAACAAAAAAATGATACAAAATGTCGCAAAAGAAAGTAACAGAAGCTACGTTTACTGGCACTGAGTAATAACGATTCATTTCTTCAGATTCCAACCTCATATGTTTGGTCATTATAGATATAATTTCCAAAGTCAGGATGTTGCTGCTCAGTTGCTTCATTGATTGTGAAGTCCAGTAGGACGGTACCACGGCAAGAATGAAAGACACTGCCAGGAGAGGTGGCTGCCGAGATAGATTAAGCAGAGGAAAAGTCAAGTCAGTTTAGAAGTGATACAATGACTAGTGACTGAATGAGTACTAATCCAATAGTCTTCCGAGCCCTAGCCCAGTGAGCCGAGTCCCTAATCCGAGTATTTAAGCCTAGCTCTGTTATATTTCAAGCAATGAGAAAATATCCCTGTCCTAACACTTCCCTCAACCCTTCAAATCCTATAAATATGCCACCTTCCAAAAATACCAATATACGATGCTAGCAACCATGACCACTTGTTACCACAGGACCCATCCTCTACTGAGCTACCACTCCATCCCTGATTTTTGGCCAGCACCACCTCTGATATTACTTTTCTGACAGGCAACCTCTGATATTACTGACCCCAATGAGATTCCAAATCTAGGATTGGGAAAATGTAATGAAAGAATCTATCTGATCTGCTAGTAACCTCCATCTTGCAAGGACGCCCAAACCGAATTCATGATCCAAGGATTTCATTTGAAAATTAAACAGAAAATATTCTAAGAAATAAAATCTGACGAAAGCTCATGAAACCATGCATGTTCATTCGTCAAGGTTAGAGCACCTACATCATTCTGGAGAAAATGCAACAACCAATTTTTTTTCCTGATTATAGCATCACAATCATGGGAAAACACATTTCAACCTACAGTCAAGGTTTAAAATGCCGCCAACAATGCTCACTGACTTGCTAGCACAACTATTTTGTTTAACCAGAATTTAGAAACTCTACTGTTTTTACAGATGAAAACTCTATTGTCCTCATCATGTATAACTACATAATCTATTTTATCAGGACTAACTGAATGTCTACGCACTTAAGATACTGAACATTCACTGGCATCCGCTGTAAAGTGTCACACTCCCTCCGTTTGTTTTATAAGACGTTCAGACAACTTGCTTTGTGCTGTTTTTGAACAGTGTCTGAAAGTTTAAAACGTCTTATAAAAATAAACAGAGGTAGTACAAATTTTCCTTCCCCAACTACTAAGAAAAGAACGGTAGAACTGCAATAGTTCTACGTGACTATTGTTAGTGATGATCAATTCACCTTGGAAAGAATATGGGACAAGAGGTGACGGTACGATCTAACACTCTGACCTCTAAGCATTGCTGCAATGCTGCACCAGAAGTTTTGACCCAATCAAGTACCAAAGAAAATATACAGTCTGACAGATAAAAAGTTTTTCTTGAAGAATAACAAATAGTATAATATAATCTCAACCACATGATATATATAAAACCAAAATAATTATCAGCCAGTCACATATTGAAACTAAGAGATTGGAAACAGTGGAATTTGACATGTCAAAATAAAAGCAAAAGTGAAATTATCATGGCATTAGGGGATACGGCATTGATCTAGTTCAATACCGGGTTAGCAGCTGCAGGTCGAGATCGGGCAGTCGGCCGCCGGCGCCGGAGTCAGGAGCGGCAGGTCAGCACGACGGCCAGGCGCAACGGGGGTGCGGATGGAGGCGGGGTGACGGCGGCGGGAGTGCGACGAGGTGGGCGGCGCGGCGGAGGACCGGGAGCGCGCGCGGGTCGGCGGGGAGTCAGGGATTGG